CGTCTTTGGGGCGCCCCGTCCCTCCTGCCCCAAGGCTCCCCTTGTGTTCCTAACACGGCAGCGCAATCGCCTCGAGCCGGAACCAATGCCTCCAGCTCCAAGTGCAGCTGCACCCTAAATGCCCCGCTGCCTCGCCACCAGGACACTGGTCCTTCCTTGGCCTGTCTTCTCCATTTGCAGCAGGGCCGACAGCTCCCATGGGCCCCGGGCAAGCATGGGGGGGAAGGAGCGGGGCCGGGCCCGCCAGCCCTTCGCGCCTCCCAGAGTGCGGCACAGCCGGAACCAATGCCTCCAGCTCCAAGTGCAGCTGCACCCTAAATGCCCCGCTGCCTCGCCACCAGGACACTGGTCCTTCCTTGGCCTGTCTTCTCCATTTGCAGCAGGGCCGACAGCTCCCATGGGCCCCGGGCAAGCATGGGGGGGAAGGAGCGGGGCCGGGCCCGCCAGCCCTTCGCGCCTCCCAGAGTGCGGCACTGGTCCCTTCCCCCAGCCCACAGAGCCATGCAGAGTGGTGCTCCAGTGGCAATTTAAAGGGCCCAGGGCTCCCAGATGCCACTGGCACTGCAGCAGCAGCAGCCAAAAGCCTTGGACTCACTGGGCCTGGGGCGACTGCTCCTTTGCCCCCTCCCTGTCGGTGGGCCTGTCCATTTATGGTCAGCTCTCACTAGAAGACAGCCCCTGGCCGGGGGGGATGTGCAGCACCCGGCCCAGCGGGGCTAGGCAGCAGCAGGAGGGCAAACCATCACCGATCCTGCCAGAATGCAGAAGAGGAGCTGAGCTCTCGTTGAACAGTGAGGGGCGGCCAGGCTCTGTGGATGGCCAGGCACCAGGGCGGGTATTGTACATGGGCCCTTGGCCTTCAGGAGCTGGGCTGGGACTGGGGTGGCTTTGCCCTTGCATGGGAGGGTTACGAGATCCTTTGGGCACGGGAGGTGGCGCGTCATCCAGCCGGAGAGGGGACCTACACTGCACATTTACCAGTAGGTTACATAAGCAGACAAGCACCAAACCATAGGAGGGCTGCTTGTCTCACCACAGGAAACACACGGGCTTTGGTCAGCGTTAGGGCAGCTGGGTACGTTATGGGCACTGCCCATGAAGCACAGCGATGAGCCACCCGGGAGATCTCCCGCCCTCGCCCACGTGGCGCATCCAGGAACGGGGCCAACAGCAGCCCGACGCCAGCTTGGCTGAGATGCTCAGGGTTGTGATGCCCATCGGTCTCGGCAGGACCGTGGGAGCGGGAATCTGTAGATGCCAGAGAGGACACGCATGGCTCTCTCGCTCGGCCAGGCTCTGCCTCCGCCAGACTCCCCAGAGTCCAGTGTGGGACGCCTTTTGCAAGCACCCCTTTGTAAGGCCCACACCCCTCTGCAAGGCCTTTCAACATGATCAGGAGGGAGGCAGGTAGCAGGGAGAGAGAAAGACTTGGGGAAGAGAAATTAACAGAGAAATATACCCAGGGAGAAAGAAAAGGGGGGGAAGTGAAAGAAGAGGGCAAGCAAGATGGCGTGAAAGACAGAAAGAGCCAGGAGGAAAGGGAGACAGAGCAAGAAGACACCACAAAGGCTCAGGCAGGCCCCCCGTAGGTGGGAGAACTCCCTTGCCGACAGGGATTCCTAAAGGTTCGCAGGAACCGTGACACCTCGCTTTGGACTTGCCACTCCCCCACCAGGTGTTGTTATGCCGTTACCTTCCAGCAAAGCGGAGGAGATGGGGCATGAGGCTGACCCCCGAGCTTCCCCCCCTCTCTGCCCTACCCCGCCCCTTCCTGCTTACCTTTTCCGCCGACTGTGACGTCCCAAAAAATATGGGGATGAAGGCTAACCAGACGATGCAGGTCGTGTACATGGTGAACCCGATGGGTTTGGCTTCGTTAAAGGTCTCCGGAACCCCCCGGGTCTTAATCGCATACACAGTGCACGTCACCATGAGGAGCATGCTGTACCCGAGCAAACAGATGAGGGACAGGTCGGAAATGTCACACTTGAGGATCCCCCGGGCAAAGAGGGGGTCCGTAGTCCGCTGGTCCTCATAGTCAATGATGGAGTGAGACGGGTCCACGATGAACCAGATGCAGACGCCCATCAGCTGCAGGGAGATGAGGCTGAAGGTGATGACCAGCTGGGAGGCGGGGCTGATGAAGCGGGGGGCGCTGACCGACTTCTTGCCCTGCTCGAAGATGCGGTAGATGCGGTTGGTCTTGGTGAGCAGGGCGGCGTAGCTGATGCTCATGCCCAGCCCCAGGAAGATGCGCCGCAACGAGCAGGTGCCCATGTCGGGCTCGGCGATCATCAGGAAGGTGGTGGCGTAGCAGAGGAAGATGCCCGTCAGCAGCACGTAGCTGAGCTCCCGCCCCGAGGCCTTGACGATGGGCGTGTCGTTGTAGCGCACGAAGGTCACCACCACGAAGAGGGTGGCGATGATGCCCACGATGGCGATGAAGACGGGCACCACGGCCCAGGGCGAGCTCCACTCCAGCTTGACGATGGGGATGGGCACGCAGCCCGTGTGGTTCTCGTTGGGGCGCTCGTTGAAGCGGCACATCTTGCAGTGGAACTCGTCCAGCTGGTACTGGTAGCCGTCGCAGCGCTCGCAGTGCCAGCAGCATGGGATGCCCTTCACCAGCTTCTTCCTCTCACCCTGGCT